TGCTGTGCAGTCAGTATTTATGCTATGTATGTAGTATTTTTGTACAAAAATAAATTTAACTGTATTGCATTATGAGGAAAAAAGTAATGTCATATTGATGTAAAATTTCGAATTATCTGCAGTTTGAGTTTTGTTAAACATTTAGTTTATTTGTAGTGAAGTAAGTTATTTGATGAAAAAAAGAATATAAATGATGAGTATGTATTGATAGCCGATTATTTATTTGATATGCAATTTATAATATCCCATAGCTGACTGCATGGTTGGCGCAGTGGCCGGCAAATGCTGTTTCAAGCCTGGGTGTGATGTGTCATATGAAACTGCATGTCATAAACACAATTTATGAAAAACACATATTTTAATCTATGATGTGAGTAATAATAGAGTTATTATCATTAGATGAATAATAGGGATATTTAAAGTGTGGGAGAGCCATGGCTCGAAAAGAATGGGTCGGCTCGACCGGATATTACAGAAAATCGGCGTGAAACAACTACAGCGTTGTGTTTCGCCGTGTTGTTGAGGTTATCGGAGGCCCAATCCTTCCCCACCCCCAATCTCAAAATCTCAAAATCCCTAATCCCCAAAAACCCCCTAATCCCTAATTTCTGTTGTTGCGGGTGTCCATGGGCGACACTGATTGCTTACCATCTGGGAGTCGCCCTGCTAGTTTTCCGACCTATCACATAATAAAAACATCATCACAGTTATCACCAACAGTTTACGACAGTTCACAATTCCTAACCTGGCTCCTAACACGCCTGGCTAATAAGTAAACTTCTTCCCAAGATGACAATGGCAAAGGGGCAGTGCCTAGTAGTGTGGTGGCTAGTCGAGCCTAGTAATCATAGAGAAGTTGAGGGCCAAAAAAATAATTTACGTAAATATTTAAAAGTGAAAAAGAGTTTAGTCCTATAAAACTTCATTCTTGTTTATTTTATTACTTCAAACGCTGGTAGGTACGAAACAAGAACATTAAACGTGCTAGCTCAATTATGGTGGATTCCTAGGCATAATAATATAAAATTTGAACCGACAATCTTAAAACGTTCCAACGAAGCTTTTTAGTGAATGGTTCTATAACTATTTGATACCTTACCCACAAGAATCAGGGGAATACAGCATCCTGTAGTTACGTAACCTATCAATCAAGATCATCCGCTGAAGCATCCGTCCGAGATATCAGAAGTCTAGACAAGGTCTAGATTTCCTGGCGATTAGCCTAACGACTGAGGGGACACGATGCATTATCTATTTACTCCGATGTAGATATCACACGTTTTGGGTCACCGGATTTACGTAGGTATAAGATGCTAAAACTGCATGCGTCACTGTTCAGGCAAGATTGAAGTTACTATTCCAAGACCTAGCTCTTTTAATATTGCTCCCTTTATTATTATTAACTTAATATAACGACATAGTTTGTTGTTTTGTGTTTCATATTTCGCCGTGTGAGTGAGATTCCCGGGTCCCAATCCTTTCCCTGCCCAAATCCCCCCACCCCCAATCCCTAAATTTCCCAAATCACTAACCCCCAAAAGGTCGGCAACGCAGTCGTAACTCCTCTGTTGTTGCTTGTTGGGTGTCAATAGGCGGCGCTGATTGCTTACCATCAGGTAATCCGTATGCTCGTTTGCCGACCGCTCAAATAAAAAAAAAATAGTATAAACCAAAGTCGCTTTCTCTGTCCCTATAACCCTATGTATGCTTTAATCTTTAAAACTACGCAACAGTTATAATTCAGTTTTTTGAATAGATAGAGTGATTTAAGAGGAATGCTTATAAACAACATTCATTAAATAGCGTAGAAATTTAGAATCAGCAGCCGGGGTGGGTCGACGTACGAATTTTAAATAATAATATTTTTATTTATGCTTCTATGACTTAAACTACCTACTCGTACTACTAGGTGAGCCCATGTTATGGAAATCAAATTCTAGAAAAATGTTTTTAAAACAATATGCTATAAGTGACCAATGCGCTAAATTCTCACCGCCTAAAACTAAAGATTTTCCATCTTATCTAACAAATTCTCACAAGAATATCGGACGAAAGAATTCTCATGAAATTTAATCAAGAAAAGTCTGAAATCTGAATCGTATGACGATGATTGTTTGTTTTATTTTTTTTCTTTCACCGGAACAATGTATGCTCTCTTTCCATTCAAATTATAGGTTATGCCATCATTCGGCTTTAACCTCAGCCCGATGGCAGTCCTTATTGATTTTTTACGAGAAATTATTTAATTCAGTAGACGTTGTTTTATACTTTTCTATTGGTTTTTGAAATGTTTACATTTGTTGTTATACTCTTTCCGTTTTTGTTAGGTAAGTGTTTTTTGCTGCGTTTATTTTTGATATTTTATGTGAAGAGTGCATAAGTTTTCTCTTGGGAGAGCCACGCTTCGGCAGTATAGGACGGCTTTACCGCAGTGTTACCACGGCCTCATGGATACAGGAAACCGGTGTGGAAAAACTCTAAACTCTGCCAGCTACCAGGAACCTGATTCCCCCATCTCCGATCCTCAAATATACCCAGAAGGCTGACAACGCACTTGTTACTCTAGAACAGTTGTTGCTCATGCTGCAGGTATTCTTAAGCGGCGCTGATTACCTACCATCAGGTGATCCGTCTGTTTCTTTGTGACAATAAGCTTGAAACCTACAGAGCACAAATGTGACCTTTTCTAAGTCATATGTATATACTTTATAAGTGTATTAAGACCACTGACATACAGTGAAGGAAAACATCATAAGGAAATCTGAACTTATAACTTCTAATTATAAGTTTGAAATTACGAATTCGCCTTGAGCAAACGTAGTGGTTAATGCTCAAACCTTCTCACTGTGAGAAGAGGTCTTTAACTCTTTTTTTCGCCTAAAAATTGCAAATTTTTCTTTTTATTTACTTATTTATTTATTTTTATTTCTTTAAATAAATATAGCGATAAACCTCTTTATAATGAATGAAAAAAGGTTAGCTTTATTTTAATTAATATTTTTGTGATTGGACTAGACATACATCAATATTAAAATAACTGAATGTTATTAAAAAAAAGGTTATTCTTTTCTTATGTCTTCTTAATCGAGATTGACTTGAATTTTTAATATAATTATTTAGTCATTTCAATGACATAAAAAACAGGTAATTCCAAATTTTGCGTTTATGCAATGATATGATGGGTAATGAATGTTTTTTTTTAATAATCAATAACAGGTTGTAGTGCTCGTAGTGAAGTTTGCATCGTCGGTTTCAATGCATTTGTTATCTTGATACGAACAATAGATGAGACGCTTTCTACTGCACCTGTTAGTATTTCTGAGCATAAAAGGCATGATGTAATAATGCCCACTGTTTTTTCATTATGTAAGGTTCATGTAATGAGAGTTCATTGAATGACTATTCACGAACTAGTTGAGACGAAAAGGGGTGGATTTTTGTCAGTAACCTTCTAACACCCTGATAGAATCTTATACCTACCAAAAACCACCAGAGCCCGAATGCTGCTACGAGCACGAGCTAGGCCCCCGATAAATTACTGCGCTTGACCCCTAACCCCAGCCCAGGGATCAACCCTAGTGGGCCCCGTTTGTCTTCCGCACGGAACGCGAGCATAAGTACGGCGCATGGTTTTGTTCGGACAAGAGTGGGAGTATCATACCTTAGCACGAATGGGTTGGCTCGACCGGAGTGATGCCACGGCCTCCCAGAAAGAAAACATAAACGGCGTTGTATTTCGCCGTGTAAGTGACATTACCGGAGACCCAATCCTTCCTCCCTCCCAATCCCTAAAACCCCCAAACCCTTATCCCCAAAAGGTCTTCAACGCACTCCTAACTCCTTTGTTTCGGGTATCCATGATCGGCGTTGATTGTTTACCATCAGGTAATCCAGCTCGTTTGCCTTCCTATCACATAAAAAAGAAAACGTGAATAGTTTGAATATACCTGAATCTAGAGGTATTCGCTCTTAGTACCTTTTACAAACAGTAGTTTCGACTGTGTGTTGTCTTTCCGTCTTGATCATAAATGAGCCAAAAGTCCAATACCTTCCACATCAGCACTATGTTCAGTAGATTCCCTATATTCGGTCGTTCTGCCCTCTACCTACCTTGTCGGTGGACATCCTCTGATCCCATTAACTGAATCATTAATTATTCAATAACTCTTAGCAAGTCGCTGATCCGTAAAAAATTAAAACTCATAAAATGTTTCCATCAGAAATACTTTTGAAGTTCGATCACTCCCCTTTTAAAGCGATTAATGTTGTGCCTTTCATTGATTTTTGTATTCCTCACTGTCGACAGTGATACAGATATCTACTTATTTCGTATTTATTTTTCGGGACTAATTGTTTAGTAAGTATTTCCACTTGGTTATAAACCACCTCATTTTGGCACCCAAGCAATATTACTCAAAACCCTTTAGAATTGAATTAAAAAAACGACATTTTATTTCCTGTAACTATTAAAGATATGCTGAAGCTGAGGTGCACAGTGCACTCCATATCAAATCTGGACTTAAGAGATATAAGTGTTACAATAATACTATATTTATGTCTTTTATGCGTCCCAGACGCGAATATACTTTTTGTTTGTTTGTTTGTATTTATCACGTGGTACCATATCTATCTTAAAGGCTCATGTGAAAAATGTGGCATTTTAGCCCTTATAAGAGGCCTAATTCACCTCTCACACCTGCCTCTAAGTCCAAGACATGGTGCAGAACGAAAGGAACTTGGAAGTCGTTTCCTGCTTCTGCGACAATCCTTATCGGAACCCAGGGCCGGAGAAGTGATTTGATGAATTTCTTACCACTAAGAAGCCTTTAAAACACAAAAGGGAAAAGAATACTCATTAGCTACGTTATGAGCCTTTGAGCGCTATGAGACGTGTATAAACTCGTCACTTCGACTGGTTCGAATGAATTCCATGGTTTAATTATTATGTTTTCGGCTTACTCACGTAATAATTTGACGACATACTCGACTAGTTTCAAGCCATGCTAGAGGCCCATATTCCTGAGCAGCGTTCCGCGACACGCGACAGGCGCCGAGTCGCGTCGAGTATCTCGTCAAATTATTACGTGAGTAAGTCGAAAACATAATAATTAATTTAGAATGTCTCACAAAAGTTGTAATAAGAATTCAATGGTTTTATTTTACTATTACAGAAATAGCGGCAGCGAATGAGAAAACTTCTGAGGACAAGGCTATTGATGCGAATCTAATTTGGTCTTACGATGGTAAGAATGTAATCTTATTTCCAATATACATACTTGCACATTTATTAGCCTGTTTAGCGAAATACTTGAAGTTATGATATGAATTTTAAATAGTCCCACGTATGTTATGCATACCCTTCCGATATCTCCAAACGTTCGTTGCATTAATAAAGCGATAACGACCATATTGAACCATATTGAAGTTGGCTATGGGGCTGTTATTTTAGGTCTGCAATATTTCTTGGACTCATTTTTTTTCATTGGATAAACGAAGTGTTAATTAAGAATACTATCATTCCTCGTTTAAAGGTCCTAATTCTCAATTTCCAGTAGATTATTCGAAACGGCTCAAAAGAACACGAAAAAAATACTAAATAAAAGGTGCTACCAAAAGCAGAGGAATTATGGTGTCACTCGCATTTTTTTCTTCATCGGAATCTACACTTTGGAACTAGCAAATAGCTTCACTGGAGGACTGACCGACAGACTGACACTTTTTATCTTTTAATCTTTATTTGAATTACAAAAGTGCCTACTTGGGCACGAATGGTTCTTTCCATATAGCTGAATTTTACAAAACTATTACCCACAGAACGTTAATAACAATTATATACTTATTTTGTAGATGAATCAAAATGGCCAGGCAAACTCTGCCAGTCAGGCGGCAAGCGGCAGTCTCCCATCGACATCAGGACAGATCTCGCAGTACGAGACTTCACAAAGCAGTTTATCAAGTATGGTCCGCTCCGGTTCACAGGATACCACAAGGTCCTCACCACCGGGATCAATAATGGTCATACTAGTAAGTAATTTATAACACTTCATGATACTATCTCATCTCCTGTAAATACCTATAGCAGCAGATACTAGGCCGCTTTTCGTGCAGAGAAGGTAGGAGTATAGCATCACTAGGCTTGCTCCTTGAAATTGTATGTTCTTGTAAGTGTAGGAGAGCCAAGCTTCGACACGAAGGAGTCGGCTCGACCGGAGTGATACCTCGGTCTTACAGAAAACCGGCGTGAAACAACCGCAGCTTTGTGTTTCGCCTTGTGAGTGAGGTTATCCAATCCTTAAATATCCGCTACCCTTATGCCCAAAAAGCCGGCAACTACTACTAACATCCCCCAAAAGACCGACGGCACTTGCAACTAATCTGATGTTCAGGATGCCCACAGGCAACTCCAACTGGTGACCATCTGGTCATTTGCCAGCTTATCGTATAGAAAATCGTGAAAATATCCATCCAAGAAAGTTTTCCCCGAGATCATAAAGATTAATCCTTCATGATCTTTATTATACTATATTTAGAACAACAATTTGTCTATAACCTAACCTAAGAATTGTTCGAATGGCAACCAAAAACATTTTGATGATTTTCCAGTTCAATTCAGCACAGAGGGCGAGGATGCGATGCACCCAATGGTCTCAGGAGGTCCTCTCAAGAACCGATACAGGCTGGAACAGCTGCACTTCCACTGGCTGTCAGAACACTCCGTCAATGGTATCAAGTAAGCGATGTTATTTGCTGTAATATAAAAACTAGTACCTAAATAAAATTAAATATTATGTGTCAATGCAAATACACCGTCCCGTAATCCTGGAATATTTCATGATGTTACCTCTACGCGTGTACCTCTCCTCTTTCTGTGAAGCAGTTATGGTCGCAAAGTAAGAGGCGGACCTCGGGAGGGAGCTCCCCTCTTCCTCACGGTCCAGCCGCCGCAGTGGGCGACACTCTAGCCAACAGACGGGGGGGGGGTATAAGTCGCTTGATGATTTTCCCCTGACAAAAAATACCTCTACATTTGAGTAGTAATCAATACTTACCAATAACTCTTTCAGATTTCCAATGGAGATACATTTCGTCCACGTGAGAGCAGATCTTACGGTGAATCAAGCGCTGCATCGCAAAGATGGGCTGGCCATCGTCTCTGTTTTTGTAAACGTAAGTTTTTATTACAATTTCTTTATAAATTTATACTAGCTTCGGGTTTGCACGAGGGCATTGCTAATACACTATTTAGTGGATGTTATCAAGCATATAAACCTTCTTCTTCAATGACTCTATTCAATAAAAAAAACTGCAACAAAATATGTTGCGTAGTTTTAAAGATTTACTCATACATAAGGATATAGGGACAGAGAAAGCGACTTTGTTTTATACTATGTAGTGATTAAGGGTAAAAGAGCTATGCTTCAGCGCGAATGAGCTGGGTCGACCGGAATGATAGAAATTGCGCCACAGAAAACCGACTTCGGAATTTAGATTATTTACGATTGTATTCTATGTTACAAGAAGCGTATTCTTACCTATACATTTCTTAAGGAAAATTCAAATTATAGGCAAATACACAATCAGAGCATTGTACATAACTATATTACTAAATCAATGCATTGTTCACATCTGTGTTTCGGAAAGCGTATTGTCAGTATTTACTATCAAGTAGTAAATATGAACCAATTAATGTCGCAATGCAATAAACCAAATTACAAAAAAATATAAGCCACATAATGACAATTATCATCAAATTAAGGCAGACTACGTTTTGCGTAATTACTTACAGACTTACAGGGCACTTAATTAAGAAATTTTTAGTACCTACGTAGGAACTAACTCGTGCGTTAACCTGAAAAACAGGTGATAAACATGAGGAAAAATAAGCAATTAACACAATTAATTTAAAGATATTGTCACTGTTTTTTTATAAGGGGATAATCATTATCTAAATGATCTCTCGCTCAGGTTGAGGCAAGAGTGAGTACCTAAGACTCTTATACCCGGTTTCCGAAAGGCCGATCAATGTTAAAATCAATTTAATCTCTTGTCAATTCATCTGATTCTTTGACTAAATTATCAACAACCAATCAGATGACAAGAGACTTAACAGGAGATTAGTTAATTTTAGCGTTGACAAGCCTTTCAGAAACCGGGTGTTACTGACTAAAATACCCCCGTTCCATCTCCTGCTCTAGGCCGAGGCCGCGGTGCGTCATTATCACTAATGGTTATAAAAAAAATATATAAGAAAGAACGCAACACATTAACACAGTTATTATAAAATTGCTAACGGTTGCATTATAGACGACCTTCACGCCGTGACACGTACATTTGAGGTTTATCAAAGAAATTGCGAAAGGTCACCTCATTCTGTTATTATAAGAAGTTGTACTTTACTTTCCATTGAAGGGCATTTTTGTATTCAACATATTTTATATTACAATTGAATTTCAACATTAATGTGTTGGTAAACAAAAATTAACGACTACAAAGTGGAGTGGTGTTATAAAAATGTGACATGGTAGTGACAAGGGCTCATGAAACATCACTATATAATTTTTTTTGGGATCAGGTTGGAAAATCCTCATGGAGACCCATCGCCCTCGGGGAAGGGCGAAGGGTACTGTCAGACTCTTACTGACTAAAAATCAACCCCTTGTTCCTCCACTTACCCATGTGTCGGAGGGTAATTCGGGTATCGCCGAAGCATTCGTCGCAACCCCCCGACGAGTAATCACTACATAGTTTTAAACTAAGTTGCTTTCTCGGTCCCTATATCCCTATGTACGCTTAAATCTTTAAAACTACACGACGGATTTGATACGGATTTTTTAATAGATAGAGTTATTGAAGAGGAAGCTTTATTAGAACAATCTACAATAACACCTTTTAAATAGTGAAAAAGATTAGTATTACCGTTGCACCTGTGCGAAGCCGGGTCGAATCGCTAGCATAATTATGTATAAATAAAACGATAGTTTCCAACTAGTAAAATTCTATATTTCTATATTTTTTTATTTGAATTCCTAGAAAACAAAAACGATACTTTTCTATGAATTTTGTATGAAATTGCAATATTTGGCGTAATTATTTCTGTAACTAGGTCTTAATATCGTCAAATTAAAGAATGATTGTACCTATGATTATATTTCGATAATACATTGAAATTGAAATGAAAATAATATTTTTTTTTTCGCGAAAATAAACCTATTTTATAGGTATACTAGCTGACCTGGCAAACTTCGTTCAGCCTCAAGATACCTAAACTTAAGTTTTCAGACCATTTAAACCTTTCCTGGATTTTCACGAAAAATTCAAGACCAAAATTAACCAAATCGGTAATGGCATAGTTGAGTTATAACATTACATCGAAAAGTGGCGTTGATTTGTATACTTATATATAGAGATAAACCGCAATTTCAAAAACATACAACGATATATGTCGTTTGTATATATGTATAAGTATTACCTAGACAAAACTAAGCCTAATTTTAGGCACGGATACTAATATCTTGCATCGTTGCATCTTTTTCGCACTGAAACAAGCCACAATGCATTCAAAGGCTTTAGAAGTTGATATCTGGACTTATGTATAATTTTATATTATAAAGCTGAAAAGTTTGTTTGTTCGAACGCGCTAATCTCTAAAACTACTGGTTCCAATTGAATAATTCTTTTTGTGTTTGTTAATACATTTATCGCGGAAGGCTTTAGGCTATAAAACATCACGCTACGATTTGTTGGAGCCGAGCAGCGAGAAGCTAGAGTAATATAATGTTTTTGCAACAGGTACAAAGTGAATTGGAGGACAATGAGCTTCAAATGGGGGAAGTTATGGAGTACATCCCCAAGCTAATGAGGACAGGAGCACGGCTCAGCGGAGTGCTTCTTGATATGTCGTGAGTACTTAGCAATCAGGGGCTCCTAGAGCAGGAAATGGAAACGGATGGTTTCAGTCAATAAGAGTCTGACATTCCCTCCCGAGAGAAGTCATTTGATACTATACTACTCTCCTATATACTGCTCCCCTTAAAAAAAAACATCTACTTAGATGCTATGCGCCTTACCTACTGACAGTCATTAAATGATTATGTATTTTACGCAAGGAAACAAAATCATCAATCACTAAGGAAACGTTTATGGTAATCATTGAATGTCTCTAAGAAACGAGTAGTCTGACACTTCTTCTTGCCTCACCTTAAGCGGGAGAAGTTATTTGGTGATATTTCCCTGACAAAAAAACATACCCAGTACCTGGTAACGTTTTAGAAGGCAGTGTCTACTAATTAGATACATTATTTTGATACTTAACATCATATCAAACACACATTTTCGCATTTTTCCTTCTTAAAATTTCAAAACTTAAGTACTTATACCAAAGAGATCATAAAAATTTAAGATAAGCAGCTAATTGGCTGGAATTAGGAAGACGTTGCGGACGATTGAATTTGATAAATTGATAACCGACTTCCTTTGAGTACCAAATTACCTGTGTTTTGTCTTTTTTTATGATTTGTAATTGGAATGCACTTACGTTGTATTTTAAAGAACACTGTTGTGGACGTGCATTAACTTTTCTCTTTCTCTGCCCTCTATCTGTCTCTGTCTCTCTTTTATGATAGTCTTTTGGAACTAAAAATTACTGAAAGATTTAGCGCTGATTTTTTCAATGGGGAATAATAATGATGCTGTCGCGTCAGAATGTTTGTATAAGAAAGTGACAGCAACTATTTTATTCCTCAGATAACATTTATCTGACTATTGAAAAATCAGCACTTAGTCTATGGAATCTACAATTCGCTGTAAAAGCACATTTAAGCTATCCTTAGATTTTTTATGTGAGAGATCGGCAAATGATTAGGCGTATTACTTGGTGGTAACCAATCGGTGCCGTCCATGGGCACCTGCAAAATTAGATAAGTTGCGAGTTCGTTGCCAGCCTTTTGGGGATAGAGTTTTGGAGGTGAGAGAGTAAGGGATTTTGGAAGGATGGGGGAAGGGGAAGGATTGGGCCACCGGTATCGTAACTTAGCTTAGCTGTGGTTGTTCCACATCGGTTTTCTAAAACTCTGTGCCATCTAACACTCTGGTCGAGCTGGAATTCTTCCACCATATGCGCTGTAGATTCTCGAACGCTTATAGATACATATCCGGCAAGTATTATATCAAGCTCTTTTTTTCTGAAAAGTCAATCCATTCGATTACTTAAATCTGGTCTTCTTTTCCAGGAAGCTGTTAGATATTGACAAGTCGTCATACTACACATACTCGGGGTCCCTGACATCACCTGACTGCAATGAGGCCGTTGTCTGGATTATCTTCACAACACCAATATTCTTGACGGATACACAGGTTCCTACACAATTATACCTTCCATAAGTTAGATAAGACTAATATTCCTGCAAAGACGGGGCAGGAGCGCTCTTTGATAAAGTTAACCCTTTCAAATTCCGCTCAGCCAAGTGTGGTGATTACAGCAAAGCCCTGTTTTGTAGAAAAGGCCCTTAATCTTGTAAATTGTAACGGTATTATTTGTGATAGATCGGCTAACGAGTATACGGATTACCTAATGGTAAGCAATCGGCACCACCCATGGACACCCGCAACACTAAAAGAGTTACGAATGCCTTTGCCGGCCGTTTGGGGAAAAGGGTTGCGAATATCTATGGATTAAGAAGGGATAGGATACGGGGAGGAATTAGGCCTCGGGTAACCTCACTCACACGGCGAAACACAAGTCCGATCTGGTCGAGGCGACATATTCGTGCCGAAGGTTGGCTCTCCCACACATGAAGATACCAATGTTATTAGATAAGTACTTAGGTACATACATTACCCAGTCTACCCAACAGGAAGCGCGTCATAAGATCATCCTCATCCGAGATTTATTCCATCACTATTTTTTTGTATTTTCCAGTACCGTTTATTCGCCAAGATAGGCATAGGACGCCACAACTTCAGGAGCCTTCAGAAACAGAACCAGCAGGTCGTGTACATGCCTGCGAAGACCAAGATCAAAGTGCCACAGGTCGTAAAATTCTTCGTAGACGTCGGTAAAGCGTTCTCCGACTTCTTCGGTAATTTTGGCGCGTTAGTATATTTTTGGTTTATTTCTTTAGCAGCAAATGAGCATACTGTACCTGATGGTCAGCAATGCGCCCATCGAGCCGTTGCAAGTACGTTGCCGGCCTTTTCTAAGTGTTTAGGGATTTAGGGACTGGGGGAGGATTGCGCCTTTTTTTTAATGTAATAAGTCGGCAAACGAGCAGACGGATTACCTGATGGTAAGCAATCAGTGCCTGCATGGACACCCGCAACGGAGGAGTTACGAGTGCGTTGCCGACCTTTTAAGGATTAGGGATTTGGAGATTTAGGGATTGGGGAAGGGTCCGGGAAGTGGAAGGATTGGGCCTCCGGTAACCTCACTCACACGGCGAAACACAACGCTGTGGTTGTTTCACGCCGGTTTTCTGTGAGGCCGTGGTATCACTCCGGTCGAGCCGACCCATTCGTGCCGAAGCATGGCTCTCCCACACTTGCCTCCGTTAACCCCACTTTTACGGCGAAAAGTGCGGTTGTTTCGCGCCGATTTTAAGTTTTTTTTTAAAGTTGTACAGCTACTTCTGCGGCAGCCGTGCAGTCATAAATTATTTCACACACAAAATTAATTACAATAATATTATTGTTTCAGGTTCGTGACAAGCGGTATCAAGGCACGATAGCGCGAGATATTTCTATTAAATTCGCAATGTTTGATAAAATTCCAGTGCCTATCTGGCACCTGGTATTTTTGCACGGTCACGTGGTCAAGGCTCAAAAGACATTGAACCTTTTGACCCTAAAAAAAAGATGTCTTTGTAAGGATTCATATTCTAATGGCGGTTATAGGCTCTGGCCTAAGTGCACTAGCGCATTTCTTTTTTCTCGCTTCTTGAACGAGGACCCTCTGGAGAGATACGGCGAGTGCTCTCGGATGCTAGTGTACACGTTAGAATCTGAACCAAGAGTTACATCCATAACATTAGGCGGTTGAAATTATTGTTGTAATTTTGAAAAGATTATTTTAGATAAGTTAAAGTACATATTTAAATAACGAATGATATAAACAGAACAATGTTGCTTTATACAAAAAAAAATCTTATCTAACAAAACTTAATGTTGCACTACTCATAATGTTTTTACTTACTGGCAATACTGTTTAATAGAGGTGAATTTTTATATTTTCAATTAAATATATAGGCTACCTATGGCTACGGTACTTGTAAATAGATTATATTAATTTATTAAGAAAAATAAAATAATTGCATTATTGTTAAATCTGTTTTATTTAAATAATAATATTAACAGCCGTATCTACAATATCACGCACACAAACATACATTGTCATCATTTACCAAAAGAATTTTGTGTACAAATACATTTTCCTTTTAATTTTTTTGGGGTTTCTTAGTTCACTGAGGTTAATTGCTGATGGGGTAGACACAGGAATACTTTTAGTACAAACATCTTACCAACTTAAAAAAAAAACAATTATAAGTTCAGTCAGTTCAACAAGTCAGTTGTCATTGCCCAGACAAAAAACATTGATAATAAAAAAAATTGAGTTAGAACGTCCAATAATAATTTGAATACCTATTTATGACGTCAATAAATAAAAACAAGGAAAAAATATTTGTATACAAAATTCATACACCCTCAACAATATTTGTGTCCAACGCCAACATTACGACCAATGCTTGGCAAAGGAACTTTATAAGTACGTAGACTACTGCGGAACATTGGCGTTGGCGACCAATATTCGACGAAGATTTCAACTAACCCAGACATAGAATTAACTAATAAATTACATGAATACGGTTTGGTTCTAACACATACGCATGGTAACTGCATAAATATGAATCGAGTGAACTTTACTTAAAGACGTTCGTGACGTTCCGACATATAGGTGACGTTCGACGCTCTGATTGGCTAGCTCGAAACTAACCAACCAATCAGAGAGCTTAACGCAGTAACGTAAAGCAAACTTGCACTATGCACTGTAATGAAAACAGGAACCATGCGATGGTCTAACGTTTCTATTATTTTTCTATCATGTAGCTATTTTGTTGTACAGTCAGTCTGTCTGTTTGCCTTATTAAGCCTGTATCTAGTTCTCAAAGATAAGAACTGTATTTATTTTTTAATTTATTGATAATAACAACATAATCGCGTGAATAAACTGAGCCGATATATCGTCCGTTTACTGGTGTAGTTCTTTCTTCAAAAGACCGCTGCGGAATGAACTTGCATGGTTCTCATACATTATACTATTTTTCACATAATTATCTGTACTTGAAAAGAGACGGGCCTCTGATTTTTGTGGCATGTAAAAGTGCTGTCAACCGGTTAATTTAAGTGAGTAAGTTATTATTTTCAATAAATTTAGTACTAATTGACTTATTGTTCAATTTCTGAAAGTGCAATTAATCCAGGTTGGCTTTTAAAGTAAAGATTCTCCGGTTTGCTTGCAACGACAGTTAATACAACATACACTATGTAATGCGAGACGAAAAGCTAACATAATACTTATACCTTTTACTTTCATGTAAGTATAATTATTTACTGCAATTGTTCCATTAAGAAGTGGATTAAAAACTTTAGATGGGCGACTCTTCACAAAAATTTACCATTCTCAACCAATTAACAATTTGTCGTTGGACCATTAGAACAAAAAAAAAATGTTTTGAAAAATTAAACCCTGTCTAAAATTAATCCAGAAAAAAACAACAGCAAAAAAGTGACGCTTAACAACCTGGTTCAATAAGTAACAATCATCACTCAGGTTTTTCGGAAAACCACCCAATTCTAATCCGAAATTACATATTTTAGAAAACTAAGAACAGACAGACAGACCGACCGACTTCAAGCAGACATATTTAACAAAACAATAACAATTCTGCTTCAACAAAGCAGCTCAGTTTTATATCAAAACAATATTATATACTTAAGATGTTTGTAAACAATCATACATTCACATTATCAGTATATTACATATCGCCCGGGCGACCTTGGTTGCCTAGTACCTAAGCTAGGATGCCTACGTCTGACCTGATTTGTTGACAATCTCCTTTAATCTCTTTTCTATGTACTGCACTCTCGTCACCAACTTGTCTTTTGGACTGAACTCCGTGTACGGAATCTGGAGTACTTTGAAGCCCTGGAATATTGAAAAACGATATTTAAAATAAATGAAAACTAATATAGTATTCATTTCTAAAACATAGGAGAAGTACGAAGGAAGTAGGATCTCATACTCTTAATCTTTTTTTTTATGTAGCAAATAGATGTAAAGTATACCAAATACAATGAAAAAAGCTATCGCTTTAAACGCTGCTATTTTTAAAATCCCCGGATATATTACTTTTAATACTAATATTATAAAGAGGTAAAATTTGTAAGTTTGTATGTAGGGGGTAATCTTTGGAACCGCTGGTCGGATTGCTAAAATTCTTTCACTGGTACAATAGCTACAATGTTCCTGAGTGCTATAGGCTATAAAACATCAAGCTACGATCAAATGAAGCCGACCAGCGGTGTGAAACCGCGTGAAATTAGCTAGTTACTTTTATAAACGTGCGAAGCCGTGTGCGGTAGTATTTGTAGGCATTTCATCGTAGTCTACTTACCTTTAATTCAAGTAACCTAGTATGGAGCTGGTTGATGCCAAGGGGCACGGCAGACTTCCTAGACATATCATGATAGTCCAGACCGAGCACAGCTATCCGGAACACACTGGAATTAAGACGTTATTGTATAAGAATACAGTTTATAGTTTTTTATATGCAATCATAGCTTTTACGGTGAAGGAAAACATAGTGAGAAAACCTTTTTTTTAGTGAGAGGAAAATCATCATATGACTTCTTATGGGAGTTTCACACTCTTACTGAAACCCCCGTTCCTTCTCCTGCTCTAGGCCGAGGCCGCGGTTAATTATTGCGCTTAACCCGCAATCCTGGCTGATTGTGACGAAACTTAGATCTATAAATTCTAATGGGAGTTTGAGTTCCAATCCACCTTGAGCTAATGTGGTAATCAAACCTTCTTCATGTGTGAAGAGACCTTTGCTCAGCAGTGGGCCCTTATAGGCTGATGATGACGATGTGTAATTGTTTTTAGAGAAAAGTAAACATGTACCTTTTATTGTTTTCGGCTTTATCTAAGGGTACAGGATGGCATTTTGCATCCACTGCGAACTCCGCGTCTGGGGAAAAAGTATAAATTTTAATTAAGTTTCTAGCATATACCTTTATCGCTTCATATCTTACTAATATTATAAATGCAAAATTCACGATTTTTGGATGTTTGTTACTCAATCACGCCAAAACGGCTGGACGGTTCTGGACGAAACTTGGCACAGGCATAGGATATACTCCGGAATAGGGCATAAACTATTTTTTATCACGGAAAAACCATAAGGTTCCTGTGGGTATATACAACTTCTTATTTTGGTTATAGCCCAAACGCGGGCGAAGCCGTGTGCAAAAGCTTGTTTTTTATAAACAAATGACTTACCATATAAAAATCCCATGCCAGAATTACAATCCTTTTTCAAAAACGCCTCGGCGGATACGAAACTCTTGAATGTGTCCATGATACTCTGGACGTAGAAAGCTTTTTCTTTTGTGTAGACTACGGGTACGCCGACCGATATGTCTTCGGGAAGTCGAGGAGACCCTGGACTGGCCAGATGGAGGAAGGCGTCGATCATCATCAGCTTACGTCGTGAAGGTATCGGGATCTCTGAAATATATGATATTTGAATATTGGTTCAGTTTATAAGTTGTCACTTAATTTTACTATACAAATCAGTTTCCTCTCAAAATAATGAAAAAGTACGGTAGTTTCCATCTAGTCAAATTCAATACTTTTCTCCAAATGTCAAAAACAAAAACTTTTTGTATGAAACTCTGAATTCATAGTAATTAATTTAATTTACAAAATTTTGTGTATCGAATGATCGATCGATAAAATTTAACACTTAGGCATTTTTCAATGTTTTAAATTATTGAAAATCCGAATTAATTTATTTTTTACCAACGAAACTACCCAAAAAGTAAAATTTCCTTACCACCAGCAGACAGCAATTTGTCAATGAACTCAGGCTGTAGTGTGGACTCTAGCTGTGTCTTCTTGGCTTTGTTCAGGATCAGCAGAGAGAAGACCAGGTCCAACCAGGACGAAGACTTGGACATCTCCTCCTCTTTCAGGGTTAGGGCAGTCTGGAGAAAATGGTTTTATATCTTAATTATTTTCTGGTTATTAAAACCACACGTAAAAGTTTACTTAGCGCAAGTACGCTACGTTCGAAATCACACGTGCCTGAGGATTATGAGCCCCGTTCGTGGTTTGAAAATAATCGAGTATCCTCAAACAGTTACGTGAATAATTATTTTGTTTATAGTAGGTACAAATTCTAAGGGCCTGTTTCACTACCTTTATGTTAATACTCGAGAAACGTATATTACTTGTAGATTATACAAATTACGTTCTCAAAATGTGATATATAGTGATTATCCAGATATTGTGAAACAAATGCTGAGCAATATGGACAGATTTTTATTTTGGTGAGCGAAATCGTCAATTGTCTTGTTTCTACTCTCTGTCTCTCTCTTGACTCTACTCCCTACTGCGGCGGCTGCGGCGTGAGGAAGAAGAGGTGTAAAATTATAATCTTGCATTTTATCAACACTTACTTTGATCAAACCCTGTGCCGAATCTGAAGGTGGAAGGTAGTCCACGGTAGCCAGCGTGACGACTGCCGACGCGATGTCGGTGGCCCGACACTGCGCTATGTGCTGGTGCAACCAGTCTGTGATGGCCGAGAGCACGGGCTCGTGTCGGTACTTCAGGAGACCAAGTGATGTGGTTATCGAGTTCACCACTGCGGATTTGTCTTCGTTTGAGGGAAGGCATTCTATGACGTCACTGTAAGGAATTAGAGTAAATTACTAGCTTCGATCCGCGACTTTGACTGCGTGATTGTTGATAAAAAGTAGTGTGTACTATGTGTTAATAAAGTTGGCTTATTTCGGTCTTAAATTATTTGTGGAAGTCCAGGGATTTGCGGCGGTACAGAGTTCGCCAGGTCAGCCAGTATTAGTATAAACACAACAATTCCAACTCACTTGCATATTCTATCTAACAGTACTGGATCAGGGAAGTTGAGTGCGGCCATAGCGTAGAGTAGATCAGCTGATTTCTTGAGGTCAATGATCTCGGCCTGGTTGGTGATGTTGTGTGAGAGCGCGCGGAGCAACGGGGTGCTGCGCCGGCCTTTGCTTTGTAAGGCTTTCATTACCTGGAGAAATATTTATTTATAAATTTATATGAACATATTATGTTGGTCAAGCAAAGAGGGCTGAGCCACTGACCAACACCAATAGCGATGGCGCAGAATGGAGAATGGGACTATTTAGACTGAACTCCATGCTTCATTTATGCCACCTATGGGCTATCGGTTTAGGTAATTAACTAAATGTAAACAATCTTGATATGCCTTTTTATCTAAAAGTTGTCTATAAATTGTATATAATAACCATCTAAACTAGTGGGTCATAGTTAGTAGAATGGTATATCTACCTACACGAAATTAAATCTAACACTTTGGGATTTTAGAGTTGCGCGTTGGAGATAAATTCGTGGCCGCGGCTTTTGATATACAAATTGCTCTTACGTGTATCTATCAAATGGATAGCGATATCAAAAGCGCAAACCAGCGCAATGCCCAGAATGCATGTTGTCGACAAGCAAAATTGTACAATATCGCTTATTTATTTATTTACAAACCCACATGTGGAATTAGTGCTTGGGAGAAAAAAAATATTGATATGTTTTGAATAAAATGAAGATTTAAAATACAACTCACTTTAATCATCTGTGGTAGTGTCAAGTTTGTTATTAATCTGGCAGCTTCATCGTCTCCTGTTATACCCAGCACAGTACTCAAGTCTTCTGCCATGGTCAGGGACCCAATTGCCTGTGATGTAGTTGACCTGGCCAGAATCCTGCATAGCTTTAAAAACCGAGGATCCTTCTCAAAGTCTGTCAGCTTGACTTTGTTGCTAGTTGTCCATTCTGAGAGGATTGATACCATCTGGATTTAAAAGGAATTACATATTTTTAATGACTTAATAAGGGGTAGGTTACTTAAATCAACATCTAAACAAAATTTAATTACTTAGACAGAAAGTTAAACCATCAACCCAATCTCATGTTCAATTCAGAACAAAAGTTAAACACAAGAACAAGTTCACTCAGCTCAAGAGAGAAATAAATATAATTATAATAAAGAAAATAACATTATACAACACATATTTTTTATGTAGTGGCCAGTAAACTTGCTTCAATACCTTAGCTATTTTCCAGTACATGTTAAATACAGTATATTTTTGCGAAAAAACCAGATGGCGATGGCCCTTCACATGATTTTTTATGCATTTGCACCTTCCATATAAGTATGTTACATATCAATCACAGCTTACTTAATTATTATTATTATCTAACACCAATCCCCAGAAATGTTTATTAATATTTATATAAATATTATTGTGTTTATTTATATTTATATAATAAAAATATTTATTATAAATTCTATAAAAACTCACCTTCAGAGCATGTCTCCGTGATACAACAGGATTCTCAGCCACAACTAGCAATCCATTCAAGTCTGTAGCCTGTGATATCAGTCCGTCTAAATGTGCTAAGCGACTTGTCTTCGCTGATTTAGGACTTGGCTTCTTTACTATTGGTGTGTCTATATCTTGAAGAGAAGCAAATGCTGCAGCCACTAATCCTGTAATAAAAACAATAATATATTTATACCTCAGTTATAATATTATAAAGCTGAAGAACTAATTAGTTTAAACAACTCCTCTTAGAAAATGCTGGTTTTGATTCATGTTATTTTTGTGTTTAGATAGTCCATTTATTGAGAAAGGTATGGTAAGGCTATGGATCCCGCTACAACCATTTGAACCTGTCTAACAAGTAAAATCATGGGAAAATAGATAGTATTAAATTCAACATTATTTCTTCAACTCTTTTTAAAAAGTGTTCAATAATGAAACTATGTTTTACATGTGTAAAAGAAAAAAGGTGAGGATGAACTATTGGAGGACTTTGTCTATTAGTGACTAAAGAAAGGAACAGATGATGATAAGGAATCAATTATTTCTACAACATATGGCTTATCCTATTAGAATTATCTTGTAAGAAACCTTGATGCCTTGTTGATAATTATGTATTCCTACTACTGTTGTTTTTAGAAACAATTTCAAATAAAATATAAAAAACTTGAAAGATTAGCTAGCATGTAAGCTCATTCTAATAAATCTATAATCTAATGTAGTTACTAATATTACTTCAACAGTTGCACCATTCAACTCGAGCCTCATTGTTAATAAGCTATGGTACCTGAGTTATCCTTGTCTTCACCGGTCAGTTGTTCGACTCTCTTATCAGACGTATTTGTCGATAGGTCTAGTTTCTCAGTCTTGAATACTGTGGCACCAGGACCGGAATATTTCCTTACGGCTGCCCTTGATCCTAACCTCCAAATCACTTGCCCGCTTAATTTCAACATCTATGACCAAAAGAACATAACTTATTAGCACCATTTCATACAAAACACTTCACCGAACATCGTGTAAACATTTTAAATGCAAAAACATTGAGTTTTTACACGGAAAATACTGAAAAATCGACTTCTTACATCACGACTTGTACTTATCAAAATTATAATGATTTTATTAATTAATATTATCAAAATGAAGAAAAGGTGTTATAATTGTACCTTTTAATGTTACGGAAAAGACCTGAAAATTGGAAATTATAGTTTTTACAGCATTTACAAAAGGTAAAATTATTTATCTTTTTGACAATTTAGTGGCAATGTTGCTGTATGAATAAATATTTCCAATATTGCTACTCCTGTACAAAAATAGAACTAAACGTAACTGAAATCATTTTCGTGGTGAAAAAGAGTAAAACTAAACGTAAAGTTACGCTAATCTGTGCTAATAGTGATGTAGAAATTTCGAAATGCCGTGATTTATTTTATAAGTACAATCGATTAAGTTTCATCAATATTTAAATACAGACTTACCCGATGAAAATAAATCAAGTAATTAATTTTTTTCTCATTTTAAACAACCAGATTTTGATTGAATCAATAAAACTATTCGTTTTTATTAAATAAACAGTATAGTGAATATGATAAAACAGCTAAGTGTACATCACTATCACAGAAAATTGCAAACGGCAGTCGTGGGAGGAAGTTTTGTTGTGATATTTTGTTGTTATTTTCCTAAAAACAGTGAAACCGGTGTTGGAAATCATGGAAATGGTAAGAAACATTGTGTGTACACCGTAAATAACAGTAACTATCAGGGTAAATACATGAAAAACACAAAAATAGTTGCCGTTGTAGACCGATGAGTTTGTACGAATTTGAATTGGTTTCCTTTGAATTCCTTTCTTATTTTTTGGTAGAATCATGTTAATAGCATCTTAATAATGTAGAATCCTCATTCTTGTTTTATAAAAATAATTGCATTAAAGGTTAATAAGGAAAAGCATGATTATCAGTGTCGTATACATATAGGAACGTAACGTTCGGCTACCTTCAGTTTATTGATAAATTATTAGCTACCGGCATTTCGAAGATCTTATCGCATTTGCCCTCTTGCTACTTTCAACGTTCCTTATTATGCTGTCAATAGATTTTATACATACAGCTTGTGATTATCAGTGAAAACAAAAACTTGTGATAATTATAGATTTATTTATGGGGTGAACTTGAAATCAGTTTTAGTAACAATCAATATTACCCTTCTGTTCACTGAGAGCTTCCAATTTTGATTATAAACAGGTAATGTATGAGCCCATGATATTATTACTCCATTATTGGCTGTGTATGATAAAAGACAGACACATTTATTGTAATCACTACAAATTACAATTGCAGGTATTTTTCATTTAAATGCAGAATAACAATGTAATATAGAAAATGTAGCTAGTTTTTTACCTTACACCGATTGCACTATAGCTATGAAAGAATGCCAATCTTTAGTTCTTTTACAATAACCAACTATTAAGTAATGAAACTCGAGGATGATCTCCACTGACCAAATATTTAGTGGTATACACCAGTTAAAACAATAATATTTATATCAGTCTATGTACAACTATGTAGACTCAATTAATCTTAGCAAGCAGAAATTGCATAGGAAAGGAAATGTGTTAGATGACATTGCCAACATAACAACTCCATTAATTAGGCATAATACCTCACAAGATACAAAATCAGTGAAAATGATAAAAAAAAGAAACCATTGAGTTTCTTACTCATTCTTCTACATGGAAATCTCTACACTTTGAAATGCCCAATAGATTCTTTAGAGCATCCAGACCAATAGACAGGCGCTTCCTAACTTTTATTTTGCCTTTGACTTTGGCCTTTGTTGTCATGAGATGTGTAACAATGCAACACAAAGTAGTTAAATGAATCTCCAAGTAAGAAAATTTTAAAATTATATTGAACTCAAATTGAATAAACAAACATACTACAAAATGTCAGATTATATTGGGGCTAAGAATGTCTGGCAGCATGTTGGTTGAGCTCTACTGGATAATACTCAAATAAAGTCAGTAGTTACTCAAATTCTGAGAATGAATGAATACTTAATTGTGACATCAAACATATTTTTTTAAATATTTAAACATGCTATTGAATTCTGGTCCTAAGTATGGGTAACTCTAGTTCGATAGCCTAGTGGTCTTCCGCAATTACCCAGTTAGGGAAGGTCTTAAACGCTATAGTTAGTAAAAAAACAGTTTGCCGCTGAGCTGGTTTATTCATCCTGGAGTATGGCATGGTTCTGCCACACTTTTCAATAATAGTGTAACAGTATGCTTTTATACATATTGTTTTGAAACAAAAAGATATGTAAGGTTTAATTCTAAATGATCTTGTAGACCTAAATAGGTGAATGCCAAACCTTATCACTATGATTGATAAATCTCAAATATACATATGTATAAAGAAATATCTCATGTTTACATTGTACTATCTTGTTCATACATCTGCCATTATCTAAAGAATTCTTACAATAACAGAGATTTAAATTTTATCCTTTTATTTTTTTATTTTTTTGTTGAATTTCATTCTTGTTGCCTTTTCCTGTACACCAAATATGTCCTTACTATATCACTATACCACTTCTAATAGCATATCACTGTAGACCAGCTTCTATATTTTGTAAAATATTTGAATTGATAAAATAATAATTCAATAGTATACAGCCGCCAACCAATAGGCTTTCTTATATGCTTTCTTTTATCCCATAAAAAATAAAAGTGTTTGATCATTATAAAATCGTGATAGTCACATAACAATATGTTATAAAGAGCCAACCAGCTAATAAAATATACAATACTTACAACTTTTGCAAAGAAAACATAGTGAAACTAAGATATAAAAAACAAGACTATGATATGAAAAACTTAATGACACATTTAGAATTAATGTTTTGTTATGCTCATTATTATTATATTTTAATAGATTTATATATTACCGTGTGATGCACAATGAACTTTTTAATTAAAGAGACTGATTTGGTCATTATAAAAAACATTTTATGTGTAATAAAAAATATTATGATTAAAGTCATTAACATATACCAAACACGTTGTTTTTTAATGTTGTTTTATCATCACACAAATAATATACTGGTTTTTTATTACGCTCGTGCTACCTCGCCTAGTTTCGAGCTATGCTTGGGGCCCATGATAAATTTCGAAAAACATTATTTCCAAAGCAGTCAAGCGCATTTTTGATCTCGACGTCTGATTATCGTACAAGGTATCTTATTGTCATAGTCATAAACAACTAACATTCTCATTAACTATATTAATTTTATTACGCTCGTGCTACCTCGCCTAGTTTCGAGCTATGCTTGGGGCCCATGATAAATTTCGAAAAACATTATTTCCAAAGCAGTCAAGCGCATTTTTGATCTCGACGTCTGATTATCGTACAAGGTATCTTATTGTCATAGTCATAAACAACTAACATTCTCATTAACTATATTAATATTGACAAATAGCTGTGATGCCTACAAAAATAAATATAAATAACAGCTAAAGGAAAACCAAAGGGCTGATTTATATACCGTCAGTTCATGCGTCATTCTGAAATCGAAAATAAACCAGAGAGTCTATTCTGTAAGTTTTTATTTATAGTGACGTGACATAATGGGTTAGTCGATGTTTGTAAGGTCGAAGACGTATTGCAAGGGCTGTCTAATTAACGTGATTTTCAACAGCGAAACGGATTCTGGACAGATTCTCCTATTTTTTAAAGAATGCTTTGATGAGTTAGTTCATTAGTTTTAGAACGAAAACGGTTGACATCAAAGCTTTTAACTGGATTTTCGTTGGATGCTATTAATAGTATGTCTCGTGGTAGACCACCATCGTAAATGGCGATCGACTTTGGTTTGAAATATTTTTAGCATAGGAAAACGAATTTTAACTTTCTTTCATAAAAATTGTATAGAAAAAAAAAGTTGTACGCGTATTTTTTAAATAATTTTATTGTTATTTTTTTGGCAAATAGCAGACTTATCTGATAGTAAGCAAGCGGTGTGAGACACCAGAAGAGTTACGAATGTGTTGCTGGGCTTTTGGGGATAAGGGTTTCGGTATATTTAGGGATTGGGGAAGGGGAAGGATTGGGCCTCCGGTAACCTCATTCGCACAGCAAAACACAACGCTGTGATTGTTTCACGCCAGATTTTTGTAATTTTGACATGCATACTTACAACATGGTTCATAAATACAAGAGACTAGCTACTCTCACGCGGTTTCACCCGCGGCTACGCTCGTGATCGTAGCGTGATGTTTTATACTTAGCACTCAGGAACATTGTAGCTGTCTATCAGTAATCAGACCAGCGCACCGGTTTCAAAGATTGCCCCCTATATACAAACTTACAAATTTTACTTCTTTATAATACTAGTATAGACTACCTACGTCAAACAGTTTTTCTCCAATATGCAATATTTATGAAAGATAAAAGCTAACGTGTTATTGCATTGATTTTGAATACAAAAAATACTTATTCAAAGGCCACAGATGCTAGTAATAGTTTTGAATTCCTGTGTGAAAACCCTTCACCGTTGAATACGGGACGTTTAAATCCCAAACCATGTGTAAGCTACATTGTTATAGTAATTGAGGTGATGTTAGTTAGTTACTCCCGAGACGATACTAAATTAATTAGCCATGCTACAAGTTCAGTTCTGTTTGGCGCATTGCTCTGTATTTTAATATTTGTTTCGAAAACAAAATGTGTCTCAAATGGACCTGTCCTACAGTGATATTTTATCGGATGGCAATATTTTTCCGCGATCGTAATCATACTAAGATAAAGTTTATGCACTGCGAATATTTGTATGATTTTCGACGGAATCTAAACAACTCTGTAACTGTCATTCTTTTAAATAGAAAGTTTGTTAATTTTATTCCCAGAGACATAGTATGGCTTACCTACCTACCAATTATTTTATAAAAAATGTCAATTTCTCCGATATTGGAAATAATCGTCTAAAATAACTATAAAAAAATGCTATCGTGGATATACAAAAACTACATTTTATTTTTTTATTTAAGGCCTAAGTGCCAAAATGGCAGAACGTGTCCTTTTCACTTCATGATCATTGCCGAAAAATGAGACCTCGCATAAATGTCAAAAGTTCCACGTGATATGGGTCAAAATGACCTTACTTTGACTGAGCAGTAATTAGTAGGATATGTACAAACTGCACCCCAATCGACCCGTCAATAGATTTTGAACTTTATTTCTTCTGAAGTAAGAAGAATTATGAACAAGCTGTGGATCAGCTTCCGGAATCCATCAATACAATTTCAACTTAATTGCGTTAGTTTTACGGTTGAGGGTTTGTTTAGATAGGTGGAAGGTT